TACAATGTGATTTATATTGCGAATCTTAACCATGAAGGTTAGAATTGGTGGAATTAAGAAATATAGTCCTTCTCAAAAAGCGATAGAGTAGTGAGAGGTTCGCGGCGTTTCGTCTGCGAGGAAAGGTTTTTGTAGAGTGGCAAATTATTTGTCACCTCGAAAGATACAGAGACCCTTCTGGACACTATAGAGACTTGAAAGTGAGGTCTGTACAGATCCTGTCCATATACGGCAGTAGTACTCAATTTTCAGGCTGATCTGGCTCCTGTAAAGGTAAACGATAGCAAGAGGAGTCAGGTAATTAATGAATCCGTACAGGGAACCGACTATTTTCCCAGTATCTTTAACTACGGATCGTATGTATGAATTCTACTTGAAGTTTAGATTGAGTTTCAATAGACGCTCAATGCAAGGGAACATCCGTTCATCGCGGTGGTTGAAATTTGATGAGGTTGGAACTCCACAAGTTTGGATTTCGAGGTATTAAATATCAGCAGCCTTAATAAAATGCCTATATATCTATTTATCAATCTAAAAATTTCCCAGAATTAACCTGTAGAAAAAGACAATATGTATAAAGGAAAAATACAATTGGAGATCTGTACTTTTAGACGAAGCGTTTCAGCCAGTGTGCACTTTTTCAAGGCAAAAAAGAAATTAAATGAAATATTTCCTATCTATCTATCTATCTATCTATCTATCTATCTGAGCTTAGTTGATCCATTTTCATGTCACTGGCGAAGAATTCAGCCGCAAATGAATGCGACGGCCACTGGCCAATCAAGTAAATGAGTTACATGACGAAACTTATCTTCCAAGTTCTGATGAATACAGCATAGAGAAGAATTAGATTTGAAATAATACAAGAACAGTTGGGTTTCGTTAAAGAACAAAGTATCTGATTGTTATGTTCCGAATGATATGAGAAAAAGAGCAATACAAATGCAAAAGGATGTGTACCTATGTTTTATAGATTATGGAAAAGCGTTTTACAAGGTATGTCACATTGAACTGTTTGAAGTACGAAGTAAGCTTGATTTATTTGGGAAAGATACTAGAATAATCCATAACTCATACTTGAAGTAAATCGCCTACATGCTGGTAGAAAAGCAATTCAGTAAATACACAAAAAAAGAAAGGAGCGTAAGACAAGGTTGTGTCTTCTCACCGGATTTAATCAACCTTTACAGTGGGACAATCCTGAGAGAACTAGAATTCTAACCAGGATTTAATATTGTCAGATACAATCTTAATAACATCTTCATATATTATCCCCATGTTAATTTGACATTTTTATGCTGGTTCAAGGAATGTTAGAAGAGAGCGTTTGAAGATTTCGCGGAATAGGGAATTATTTCTGCGATAGACTGGTTGCCAAACAAGACTATAGAACCCAGTCTGTCCAAACTATTTAACAAGCTTGTGTAAATCGAAAAGATAAGGCAGGGATAGTAAACATTACAAATACTGCTAATAGTTATGGAAGATAGAAAGATGTAGAGGGCCAAAGTCGCCAGATCCTCAGGAGACATGATACATAGAAGATCATATCAACATATAAACTAAAGCTCCAACACTGAAAGATAAGCTGTTATATTAAATTTCCTTTATTAACGTTTCCAGTGCTGCATTATTATAACATTGTTTCCTGGTTATGCTTACCGGTGTGGGAAAAATAGGAAGTTGCCATTCACTGGAAATAAAGACACTGGTGGCGATTTCTAATGGGCGCCGCCATTTTAATTTTGACTGGACATTATGTAGTACAGATTCGGCTAAACGACGCAACACACACAATATAATAAAAATAGTGCTGTGCAAAAGTAATTGATTACCTAAGATAATATCTTTAAAAATTGTCTCCTTTTTCCAGATGATTAACAAATCTTAATTAAACTATATATTCATTAAGAAAAACCTTTATTAAATCAATTACAACCATTTTCAAAGATTTTTATCAGGCTGGAATGAATTAAAAATTAAAAATCAAGACGTGAAAAAAGTAATCGAACCCTTACATTTAATTTTTGGTGGCAGCTCCTTTTGACAGCCAGTTTTTTTCTATAATCATTAAGAAGTTTCTCGCATTCGTGAGTGCCGATTTTTTACTATTCTTCTTGGCAAAATTCCTGCAATTGCTCGATTTTATCTGGGTTACTTGCATGCACTGCCTACTTTCACTTGAATCACAGATTTTCAATTGGGTTTAGATCAGGACTTTGACTGGGCCATTCCAAGATTTGAAATTTCTTTTTATGAATCCATTCTTTTGTGGATTTGCTTTGATGCTTCTAATTACTTTCCTGATATAAGTTTCAGTCCCGAACTAAACCCAACTTTTAAACTGAGTACAAGACACTTTCATTTAATATTGCTTGGTATCTTGCAGAGTTCATTGTGCCGTCAATGCATACTATTTTGTCTGTTCCAGTTGCAGCAAAGCACACCCAAATCATAATGCAATGCTGTAACCGCCATGTTTAATAGTTGGTATCAAATTTTTCACTTCAAAAAGCTGAATTAGGAGCTCCCCAGATATATCACGTATTGTTCCTCCCAAAAAGCTCTAGTTTGGACTCATCCGAACATAAAACTTTTTGCCATAATATTTCTACCTTATTAATATGAGCTTTGGCAAAGTTAAGGCGAGCATGCTTATGCTATTTCGTAAGCAGTAGCTTTTTTCTGGGCATTCTGCCATGAAAAATCGGCATTGTTCAGATTTCATCATAATGTAGATGTATGCACATTGATTCCGACTTTAGCCAGTGAGCTTTGGAGAACATTAAAGGTCATGGCAGGATTTGCCTGAGCTTGCCGGACTAGATTTCTACTTGTTTTTATTTTTCACGGACGGCCATTGTGATGCCGTCATACCAAAAGTTTTCCATTTATAAACAATTTTTTGCATGGGGGAGAAGTTCACTCTAAATCGTGTTGATCACTTTTGTAGCCTTCTTCGTTATTATTGGTTTCAACTATGCGGTTTTTAAATCTTCAAGAAGTTCTTTTGATCTTTGCATATATATATATATATATATATATATATATATATATATATAAATTTAGTCTCTAACTGCACACTTTTGCATACACAATAAATTATATTATTTGACTGCAGTATACAGTGCTTACCAAAAACATGAACACGTGTCGCTTTGATTTTTACACATACTCAAAAACAAAAATACAAAGGGTAAACGTAATGGTTCACTTACTTTTGCACATCTTAATTTTTCATTAATATTTTTATACCAGCTTGATAAAAATCTTTGACAGTGATTTTAATTCATTGATTTTTTTTAATGAATATATAGTTTAATTAATAATTATTGATTATCTGGAAAAAAGAGACAATTATTTTAAATATTATCTTAGGTGTTCACTTATGTTTGTACAGCACTGTATACCACAAAGCTGGATAAATTGTATGCTATTTTATGTCTACGTTGGTTTGTAAATAGCGCTAAGCGCTGGTTAGTTCATAATACAAAACCTGGTGACCTATATTTCATGTGTTCTTAAAACTATATAAGTATGTCGGCAGCAAGCAATGTAACTTTGGTATAGGTGTGTACGTACATCCACAGCAGCAGAAAAGTACACTTGAATTAAGATAAGGTGATCACATCCAACCTTAATATTTAAATGATATTTTAAATTATTCAAAATGGCTGCAGCAATGCAATGCACGCGTCAATGCAAGCCTTCATCTAAAGTATATTTTGTAATTCTATGAAAAATCACAGCGCAATAAAAAACAAATTCTGTTAAATCTGTTGAAAATGATTCATATTTCTTCCTTCAGTCCATATCGCTGATAATATTTCTTTAAGATAAGCCAGGGTACCATGATGAAAATAAACAAATGCTCCACCTTGTTTAAAATAAAACCACACCTCTCCATCAAGAAATCTTAAAATCCTTAGCACAATTTATCTTTAGAACATGAAGCAAATGTTTATATATCTTTTGGCAGGCACTCCGGACTCGTATGTGGCACATATTTATAGATAACTAAAAATTTCTAGCCCAACATATACAAGTTCTGGTTTGTAACTAAAATGACTGGATAACTTCCATGAGTGCAATCAGGAGTGAGTTAGTTACTAAGTTTATGTTAGGTTGTTCGGAAACTAATGTCGCATTTTTAGAAAGAAAATAAAATTCGTTCAAATATAACAAAAACAATTTTGACTTAATCAAGAAATGTGCACGCTCATGATTAAGTTATCTTGAGCATGTGCAACGGCAAAATACCGCTGTAAAACTAATCCGTTTATTTCTGATTGAAAGATCTGCGGATTCTAGACGAAAATTCTGTTTCAATATTAGGACCATAATTCCAATTCTGAAGGGTTTTGGTGAGCAGTTAGTTTAGAATTTTTAGTAACGTTTATAATTATTACTTAAAATGGGACAAAACCAATTATATAAAAACTTTCTTAGAAGCGAGGGAAAGGTTAAAAGTAGGGAAGACAATATTTCACCCTTTTAAGAATTGGTTTTTTGCCAGAGGTTAGAAAATTACTAATGATGATTACATTTTGGTTTAATGAATTAAATTTTACTTACATTTTAATGTTTTTTTTACTTTAATCTTTGAACAACCACATATTTATAGATGTTTGGATACGTGAAAGCAGATTTGTGCTCTGCTACATCCAAAAATACCAAATAGTTTTTGCATCTTAACCCTGCGTTGCAGATTGTTTGCTGGATGCTGTACTTCAATGCTCCCATATCTTTTGCTTCCATTTCCTATTGAGTCCTCTTCACTAAATTCCCAATTCCTCATTAAACACGCCTAATTCCCCAAATAAGAGATTCTTCGTGAAACTATAGCCTTCAATCCTTGCAATTTGCCCAGCCCATCGCAGCTGAGTCAATTTTTTAAGACAGCTACTACACTTGTGGCTTTGGCTAAAACTGTGGTCGTATTAATGAAGTCGTTTCAATGTACTTTTCGAACGGTTCAGAGATAACACTGATGGCAGCTATCACTTGTATAGGAACAAAGACAAGGTTGTGTATAGGAAAGAAGAAAAGGTTGTGTATAGGAACAAAGACATGTTTGTGTATAGGAAGGAAGAAAAGGTTGTGTATGGGAACGAAGACAAAGTTGTGTATAGGAATGAAGATAAGGTTGTGTATAAGAACAAAGACAAGGTTGTGTATAGGAACGAAGAAAAGGTTGTGTATAGGAACGAAGAAGAGGTTGTGTATAGGAACGAAGAAAAGGTTGTGTATATGAACGAAGAAAAGGTTTTGTATAGGAACAAAGACAAGGTTGTGTATAGGAACGAAGAAAAGGTTGTGTATAGGAACAAGGACAAGGTTGTGTATAGGAACGAAGAAAAGGTTGTGTATAGGAACAAAGAAAAGGTTGTGTATAGGAACAAAGAAAGGTTGTGTATAGAAACGAAGAAAAGGTTGTGTATAGGAACAAAGACGAGGTTGTGTATAGGAACGAAAAAAAGGTTGTGTATGGGAACGAAGACAAGGTTGTGTATAGGAACGAAGACAAGGTTGTGTATAGGAACGAAGAAAAGGTTGTGTATAGGAACGAAGAAAAGGTTGTTTATAGGAACAAAGACAAGGTTATGTATAGGAACGAAGAAAAGGTTGTGTATAAGAACGAGAAAAAGGCTGTGTATAGGAACGAAGAAAACGTTGTGTATAGGAACAAAGACAAGGTTGTGTATAGGAACGGAGAAAAGAGAGTGTATAGGAACGAAGAAAAGGTTGTGTATAGGAACGAAGGAAAGGTTGTGTATAGGAACGAAGAAAAGGTTGTTTATAGAAACGAAGAAAAGGTTGTGTATAGGAACAAAGACAAGGTTATGTATAGGAACAAAGACAAGGTTGTGTATAAAAACGAAGACAAGTTTGTGTATAGGAACGAAGAAATGGTTGTTTATAGGAACAAAGACAAGGTTGTGTATAGGAACGAAGAAAAAGATGTGTATGGGAACGAGGAAAAGGTTGTGTATAGGACCGAAGACAAGGTTGTGTATATGAACGAAGAAAACTTTGTTTATAGGAACGAAGACAACGTTGTGTTTAGGAACAAAGACATGGTTTTGTATAGGAACGAAGAAAAGGTTGTGTATAGGAACAAAGACAAGGTTGTTTATGGGAACGAAGAAAAAGGAGTGTATAGGAACGAAGAAGAGGTTGTGTATAGGAACGAAGAAAAGGTTGTGTATAGGAACAAAAAAAGGTTGTGTATAGAAACGAAGAAAATGTTGTGTATAGGAACAAAGACAAGTTTGTGTATAGGAACGAAGAAAAGGTTGTGTATAGGAACAAAGACAAGGTTGTGTATAGGAACGAAGAAAAGGTTGTGTATAGGAACGAAGAAGAGGTTGTGTATAGGAACGAAGAAATGGTTGTGTATAGGAACAAAGACATTGTTGTTTGTAGGAACGAAGAAAATGTTGTGTATAGGAACAAAAAAAGATTGTGTATAGGAACGAAGAAAAGGTTGTGTATAGGAACGAAAAAAAGGTTGTGTATGAGAACGAAGACAAAGTTGTGTATAGGAATGAAGATAAGGTTGTGTATAGGAACAAAGACAAGTTTGTGTATAGGAACGAAGAAAAGGTTCTGTATAGGAACGAGAAAAATGCTGTGTATAGGAACGAAGACAACGTTGTGTATAGGAACGAAGAAAACGTAGTGTATAGGAACAAAGACAAGGTTGTGTATAGGAACGAAGAAAAGGTTGTGTATAGGAACGAAGAAGAGGTTGTGTATAGGAACGAAGAAAATGTTGTGTATAGGAACGAAGAAGAGGTTGTGTATAGGAACGAAGAAAAGATTGTGTATATGAACGAAGAAATCGTTGTGTATAGGAACAAGGACAAGGTTGTGTATAGGAACGAAGAAAAGGTTGTGTATAGGAACAAAGACAAGGTTGTGTATAGGAACGAAGAAAAGGTTGTGTATAGGAACAAAGACAAGGTTGTGTATAGGAACGAAGTTATGGTTGTGTATAGGAACGAAGAATAAGTTGTGTATCGGAACAAAGACAAGGTTGTGTATAGGAACAGAGACAAGGTTGTGTGTAGGAACGAAGACAATGTTATAAAAAACAACAAAAAGGTTGTGTATAGAAACGAAGAAAAAGGTTGTATAGGAACAAAGACAAGGTTGTGTATAGGAACGAAGAAAAGGTTGTGTATAGGAACAAAGACAAGGTTGTGTATAGGAACAAAGACAAGGTTGTGTATAGGAACGGAGAAAAGGGAGTGTATAGGAACGAAGAAGAGGTTGTGTATAGGAACGAAGAAAAGGTTGTGTATAGGAACGAAGAAGAGGTGGTGTATAGGAACGAAGAAAAGGTTGTGTATAGGAACAAAGACAAGGTTGTGTGTAGGAACGAAGACAATGTTGTGTATAGGACCAAAAAAATGGTTGTGTATAGAAACGAAGGAAAAGGTTGTGTATAGGAACAAAGACAAGGTTGTATATAGGTACGAAGAAAAGGTTGTGATTAGGAACAAAGAAAAGGTTGTGTATAGGAACGAGAAAAAGGCTGTGTATAGGAACGAAGACAACGTTGTGTATTAGAACGAAGAAAAAGTTGTGTATAGGAACAAAGACAAGGTTGTGTATAGGAACGAAGAAAAGGTTGTGTATAGGAACGAAGAAAATGTTGTGTATAGGAACGAAGAAGAGGTTGTGTATAGGAACGAAGAAAAGATTGTGTATATGAACGAAGAAATCGTTGTGTATAGGAACAAGGACAAGGTTGTGTATAGGAACGAAGAAAAGGTTGTGTATAGGAACAAAGACAAGGTTGTGTATAGGAACGAAGAAAAGGTTGTGTATAGGAACAAAGACAAGGTTGTGTATAGGAACGAAGGTATGGTTGTGTATAGGAACGAAGAATAAGTTGTGTATCGGAACAAAGACAAGGTTGTGTATAGGAACAGAGACAAGGTTGTGTGTAGGAACGAAGACAATGTTATGTAAAGAACAAAAAAAGGTTGTGTATAGAAACGAAGAAAAAGGTTGTGTATAGGAACAAAGACAAGGTTGTGTATAGGAACGAAGAAAAGGTTGTGTATAGGAACAAAGACAAGGTTGTGTATAGGAACAAAGACAAGGTTGTGTATAGGAACGGAGAAAAGGGAGTGTATAGGAACGAAGAAGAGGTTGTGTATAGGAACGAAGAAAAGGTTGTGTATAGGAACGAAGAAGAGGTGGTGTATAGGAACGAAGAAAAGGTTGTGTATAGGAACAAAGACAAGGTTGTGTGTAGGAACGAAGACAATGTTGTGTATAGGACCAAAAAATGGTTGTGTATAGAAACGAAGGAAAAGGTTGTGTATAGGAACAAAGACAAGGTTGTATATAGGTACGAAGAAAAGGTTGTGATTAGGAACAAAGAAAAGGTTGTGTATAGGAACGAGAAAAAGGCTGTGTATAGGAACGAAGACAACGTTGTGTATTAGAACGAAGAAAAAGTTGTGTATAGGAACAAAGACAAGGTTGTGTATAGGAACGAAGAAAAGGTTGTGTATAGGAACGAAGAAGAGGTTGTGTATAGGAACGAAGAAAATGTTGTGTATAGGAACGAAGAAGAGGTTGTGTATAGGAACGAAGAAAAGGTTGTGTATATGAACGAAGAAAAGGTTTTGTATAGGAACAAAGACAAGGTTGTGTATAGGAACGAAGAAAAGGTTGTGTATAGGAACAAAGACAAATTTGTGTATAGGAACGAAGAAAAGGTTCTGTATAGGAACGAGAAAAATGCTGTGTATAGGAACGAAGACAACGTTGTATATAGGAACGAAGAAAACGTTGTGTATAGGAACAAAGACAAGGTTGTGTATAGGAACGAAGAAAAGGTTGTGTATAGGAACGAAGAAAAGGTTGTGTATATGAACAAAGACAAGGTTGTGTATAGGAACGAAGACAAGGGTGTGTATAGGAACAAAGAAAGGTTGTGTATATGAACGAAGAAATGTTGTGTATAGGAACAAAGAAAGGTTGTGTATAGGAACGAAGAAAAGGTTGTGTATAGGAACAAAGACAAGGTTGTGTATAGGAACGAAGAAAAGGTTGTGTATAGGAACAAAGACAAGTTTGTGTATAGGAACGGAGAAAAGAGAGTGTATAGGAACGAAGAAGAGGTTGTGTATAGGAACGAAGAAAAGATTGTGTATTGGAACGATGAAGAGGTTGTGTATAGGAACGAAGACAACGTTGTGTATAGGAACAAAGACAACGTTGTGTATAGGAACGAAGACAAGGTTGTGTATAGGAACGAAGACAAGGGTGTGTATAGGAACAAAGAAAGGTTGTGTATAGGAACGAAGAAAAGGTTGTGTATAGGAACAAAGAAAGGTTGTGTATAGGAACGAAGAAAAGGTTGTGTATAGGAACAAAGACAAGGTTGTGTATAGGAACGAAAAAAAGGTTGTGTATGGGAACGAACACAAGGTTGTGTATAGGAACGAAGACAATGTTGTGTATAGGAACGAAGACAATGTTGTGTATAGGAACGAAGGAAAGGTTTTGTATAGGAACGAAGGAGAGGTTGTGTATAGGAACGAAGAAATGTTTGTGTATAGGAACAAAGACAAGGTTGTGTATAGGAACGAAAACAAGGTTGTGTATAGGAACAAAGAAATGTTGTGTATAGGAACAATGACAAGGTTGTGTATAGGAACGAAGAAAAGGTTGTGTATAGGAACGAGAAAAAGGCTGTGTATAGGAACGAAGACAACGTTGTGTATAGGAACGAAGAAAACGTTGTGTATAGGAACAAAGACAAGGTTGTGTATAGGAACGAAGAAAAGGTTGTGTATAGGACCGAAGAAGAGGTTGTGTATAGAAACGAGTAAAAGATTGTGTATAGGAACGAAGACAAGGTTGTGTATAGGAACGAAGGAAAGGTTGTGTATAGAAACGAAGAAAAGGTTGTTTATAGAAACGAAGAAAAGGTTGTGTATAGGAACAAAGACAAGGTTGTGTATAAAAACGAAGACAAGGTTGTGTATAGGAACGAAGAAAAAGATGTGTATGGGAAGGAGGAACAGGTTGTGTATAGGACCGAAGACAAGGTTGTGTATATGAACGAAGAAAACGTTGTGTATAGGAACGAAGACAACGTTGTGTTTAGGAACAAAGACATGGTTTTGTATAGGAACGAAGAAAAGGTTGTGTATCGGAACAAAGACAAGTTATTTTATGGGAACGAAGAAAAGGTTATGCATACGAACAAAGACAAGTTTGTTTATAGGAACGAAGAATTTTTTTTTTATAGGACCGAAGACAAGGTTGTGTATATGAACGAAAAAAAGGTTGTTTATGGGAACGAAGACAAAGTTGTGTATAGGAACGAAGATCAGGTTATGTATAGGAACGAAGAAAAGGTTGTGTATAGGAACAAAGACAAGGTTGTGTATAGGAAGGAAGAAAAGGTTGTGTATGGGAACGAAGTCAATGTTGTGAAAAGGAACGAAGAAAATGTTGTGTATAGGAACAAAGACAAGGTTGTGTATAGGAACGAAAAAAATGTTGTGTATGGGAACGAAGACAAAGTTGTGTATAGGAACGAAGATAAGGTTGTGTATAGGAACAAAGACAAGGTTGTGTATAGGAACGAAGAAAAGGTTGTGTATAGGAACGAGAAAAAGGCTGTGTATAGGAACGAAGACAACGTTGTGTATAGGAACGAAGAAAAGGTTGTGTATAGGAACAAAGACAAGGTTGTGTATAGGAACGAGGACAATGTTGTGTATAGTAACAAAGACAAGGTTGTGTATAGGAACGAAGAAAAGGTTGTGTATAGGAAGAAAGACAAGGTTGTGTATAGGAACGAAGAAAAGGTTGTGTATAGGAACGAAGACAAGGTTGTGTATAGGAACGAAGAAAAGGTTGTGTATAAGAACAAAGACAAGGTTGTGTATAGGAACGAAGAAAAGGTTGTGTATAGGAACAAAGACAAGGTTGTGTATAGGAACGAAGACAAGGTTGTGTACAGGAACGAAGAAAATGTTGTGTATAGGAAAAAGACAAGGTTGTGTATAGGAATGAAGACAAGGTTTTGTATAGGAAGGAAGTCAAGTTTGTATACAGGAACGAAGACAAGGTTGTGTATATGAACGAAGAAAATGTTGTTTACAGGAACGAAGACAAGGTTGTGTATAGGAACGAAGAAAAGGTGGTGTATAGGATGAAAGACAAGGTTGTGTGTAGGAAAAAAGACAAGATTTTATATAGGAACGAAGACAAGGTTGTGTACAGGAACAAAGACAAGGTTGTGTATAGCAACGAAGAAAATGTTGTGTATAGGAACGAAGACACAGTTGTGTATAGAAACGAAGAATAGGTTGTGTACAAGAACGAAGACAAGGTTGTGTATAGGAACGAAGAAAAGGTTGTGTATAGAAACAAAGACAATGTTGTGTATAGGAACGAAGACTAGGTTGTGTATAGGAACAAAGACAAGGTTGTGTGTAGGAACGAAGAAAAGTTGTGTATAGGAACGTAGAATAGTTTGTGTGTAGGAACAAAGACAAGATTGTGTATAGGAACGAAGAATAGTTTGTGTTTAGGAACAAAGACAAGATTGTGTATAGGAACAACGACTAGGTTTTGTATAGGAACGAAGAAAAATTTGTGTATAGGAACGAAGACAATGTTGTGTATAGGAACGAAGACAATGTTGTGTATAGGAACGAAGACAAGGTTGTGTATATAAAGTCGGGCAGAATCTATAACTTTGTAGAGATCGGTATTCCTGTTCAGTGTCATTTTTCTGTTTCACCACACATAATTGTGCAGCTTTCCAAAAATACCTGATTACTCTTTTCTTTTCTATTACTTATCGCTTTCGTGTTCATTTAAATTGCGATAAATGTCATTTTAATATCTAACCAAAACAAAATCTTTCTTCTCGTTTCAAACATCATATTTTAAAGACATAATTATCACTGTAATGTAGTGTGTTACTGACTCAAGGGAAGTAGTATGCTCTCAAGTGTCTCATGAATTCGTAACCATTTATAGTCTTTGTTATTTCCTATGTAAATGTGTTACCTCATCTCCCTGTACCGAAGAAGTTTTATCCCCCTATTTTGTCTGGCACATTTTCTGGGATATTTTGTCTCTTTACTATTTTCCTCCTTCTCCCTCAGATATTGTCTAGATATCGGAGATAGTGACCTTTTTTTTTAATTGGAGTGTTCTTCAAACGATTGTTTATCTTGAGAGTCTATATTACTTTCGATTTCACTGTCATGTTTGTCATGCCTTGACATGTCAATTTCGCCTTCATTCCTTTCACTCTCACTATACATTTCGTCATCGTGTTGCAATCTAACTTGGTCTGCATGCATTAATATCCCATTTCCATTTCTTCTATTATCATAATGTTCTGTCCACTTTGCATTATGAATCTCTTGTAAATTAGATTCGCTGTCCTTTTTATACTGTCCGTAATTTGTCTACCAATGAAAGCAGACCAACTTTTCAATCTTCCAGTATTTAATATTGTCCTATAACTTAGCAACAATCTAGGAAGAATCGTTTCTATCTTCTCTTTCCGTTGTACACATATTTTCAATCCGTTTAGTTTTCATCATCCTTTCTGCTAATCCGTTTGATTGCGGATGGTACTGAGGTGGGGTTATATGATTTGCATCCAATTTTGTTCTTCATCACAGAACTTTGGGGCATGGTCAGATACTACTGTTTTGGGAATTTCATTTCTTGAAACTATGATCCTCAACGTTTATTTTATGGTCGAACATCTTTTGTTGGAGACCTGTATTATTTCTAGCCAGCTTGAATACACATCTACCAGTATTAATAATAATCCCACTCCATTAACATGGGTATGATCCATGTGTACTCTGTCCCAAGTTTGGGACTCCATGTGTGTTTTTGTCTGTCTAAATTTTCTTCATTCAATGTGAAAAACATTGAGAAATGTTCCTGAACTTATCTTTCTCTGCATTTACTAGTTTATTTTTTCTTTTTCTTTTTTTTTTTTTTTTTACGGGGGGGAGTGCTATGTTTTTTCACTATTAGTTGACTTAAATGTTCAAAAGTCATTTCCTTCAAGTCTTTTGAGTGTGTGTTTGCTGATAATTTTATAATGGCCTCACAACCAGCAGTTACCAAGAGGAGATCAGTTATTGTGCGTATTCATAATTATTAAGTGATAATTGTTCTTTCGGTTCTTTAGATATCGGTGACGCTATTTTGTAGTGTAGTGTTACTGAATGACGGAAAATAGTATGCACTCAACTGTCTCAAGGGTAATAGCCGTAGCTATTTATAGTCTCTGTGACTTCATATGTAAATGATTCATCCCAACAACATTAAAGTGAAAACGAACAATAGACTTTGATGTTACGCCTATGTTTTAATATAAACGCTAAGTGTGAAATAGTAAAGCAGACTTGGCTATCTAGCCTTAATTAGCAGTTAGTCTAGAAGGACAGATTCAAAAACCAGTTGGTCGTGAGGCTAGTACATCTGCTCCATAAAACATATATGCGACTACAGTAGAACCACTTGTAGTTAGTTTGTGACCGTGTGTTCCACGTGGGGTCTGCAGTATCAAGAAAAGGAATTTATTACACAGTTATTGACAAAAGATTCGAATGAGGTGTTCAATAACTTTTTGTATTTCTATTTCAGATTATTTATCCATTCTTAGACTGTTACCAGAATATAATTTATGGGCGTCAACATTGTGTCATGGGATTTTACGTTCTGGCTCTGAATAAGGAATCGAAGAGGAGTTCGAATTCCAGTCGAGTTTGTTACATTCACTTATATATATCCCGTATGGCATTGAACTGATTTGCTTTGCGTAATAGCTAGAAAACTTGCCTCACTACACTATACTATAGTTGTGAGTTCGATCCGCATTGGGTGACTTTCTACTGTCACTTTTGCCAGACTAAGCCTTGTTTAATAAATATCACTACACATAAAGACTCTGTTCTGATGTCATATTTAGAAACGCCAAAATAGACATGTATCAACAAATTCACTTTCCTCTTTTTAGACCTCATTAACTATGGCTACCTGGATAAAGCTTAGAGTTTCCATTTTAAAATAGTCGATTTTCTCCGTTGATAGCACTTCCATTTTTTATCATTTGAAGCTAGATAAACCTACCTTGCAACATCCGGGGCATGATCATCATCCAGAAGGTGATTTTGATAAATGACTGGGGAATAATTCGAACACCACGTCTGAAAAATAATATCGTAAGACAAAATTAACTGTCCACTTCGCCGATGTTTACATCTTAGTTTTATTCCATCGCTACAATGTAACAATTTCCACTCATTTCATTCAATTAGATGCTCAAATCGCTGTTAATGTAACTAGTAAAGATACACCTGAGGGACCATCGGACGTTGTCAAGTAAGTTTTAGATTATCTTGTATGAAAGAAAGTAATTCATTTTAAATGAATAACAAAGTCCGTCTACATTGTGATTCATTAGTTTCTTATTCGACTTAAACTTAATCTTGTCCTTGTCTATTTTGCTATTCAAGTGACATAAAAACACAAAACATCGTATATACTTGAGTGTAAGTTGATATCACCAATGGGTGGTGTTAATTTTTATCAAAAAAAAAACTTAAACACGTTAATAATAAAAATTTCAATATCGTGTTTTATTCATGTTTTAAAATTTAATTTTGTTTTATTTTGCTTGCATTCGATTCAAATATTTTTAGATCTCTGTTGAGTTTTATAAGAAAAAGGATATATGTGTGTGCGTATACCTACCTTTCTATCTATAGTTAGATATGAACAGGATGAGAGAGAGAGGGAGTTAGAGATAGATAGATAGATAGATAGATAGATAGATAGATAGATAGATAGATAGATAGATAGATAGATATAGAGAGAGAGACATATTAATAACTGACAGCATAAACTGTAACCAAAAACTTTTTTTTTCTCGGACTAAAGTATTCGCTGTGCCTCAAGCTCAGATTAAAAGTGATCGATTGAACAGTTTTATTTTTATGTACTTGTAGCAAAATTAAGTGAAGTTCACTAGAAATCAAGGGAAAACATGTCTTCACAATACGTCAATGCTTTCTTTAATAGTCTTGTTGATTTTTTGTAATCCTGTTGTCAGATGGCTTTCAGTTGCAAGAATCATCGAAATTGTTCCAAGTTCTTTGATAACAATGAGTACAAAATTTACGTACACAAGTTTCCTGGGTACCTTAAAATATCGAGTAGGATTATTATCTCTCAGTTGTGTCTCTGACTTCGGGCAGAGTGCGGCTCAGTTGTGGCTCTGTCCGCGGGCAAAGATGCAGCTGGGGAAAAATACTGAGGTGCCCGATCCCAGTGAAGAGGTACCTGCGGCTTTACCCTCTCATTACACTAAAGAGGGGGATCGGTAGTCATACCGCTGCCAGGGCAACCGACAGTTGCGAGGGCTGGGCAATTTTTGTCCTTGGCGTGGATGTACTTGATCTGGTTGCCCACATTAAAGCCGACCTTGTGTCACATCTCGTCTAAGTGGGGGAGACTGGGTGAATACTAAATTAATATTTCAAGATAATTTCTAGCGTGTGTGTGTGTGTGTGTCTGTCTGTCTGTCTGTCTGTCTCTCTCTCTCTCTCTCTCTCTCTCTCTCTCTCTCTCTGGTTCTTTTTCTCTTTCCGCGCTTTTTCTCGCTTTTATGTCTTTCTAAATTTCTTTCCTCCTCTTTCATTGTAACTCCTTTTCTTTTCTTCTTATATTCCTCTCTCTCTCTCTCTCTCTCTGAGTCTATCTCTCTGAGTCTCTCTTCTCACACGTTTTACTCTCATTGTATCCCTGTATTTATTTTTCATTCTCTTTCTTTCACACTTTCTTTTTCCATCTGATTTTCTCTCTTTCTAGTTTCCTTTTTCGCTCCCATTTAACTCTCTCTCTCTCTCTCTCTCTCTCTCTCTCTCTCTCTCTCTCTCTATTTCTAATTTCATCATCTTTCTTTCGTTCACTCTCGCTTTTTTCTCCAGTCTTGTATTTTTTTTCTTTTATCTTTTTCTACTTTCCTTACCCGTTCCTTCACCTTTTCTCTCTTTCTGTATCTCTTCCTTTTTGACATACTCTTTCTCTCTCTCTTTCTCTCCTCTTTTCTTCCTTTCTAGTTCTTCTCCTTCCCCTTCTTTTCCCTTTCATTTAACTCTCTCTCTCCCAATTACTCTGTCTTGCTTCCCTTTTCTTACAAACCCCATTTTTGTGATACACATACGTGTCTTTGTGGTACGTTTTTAAGTCCCTCATAAACAATAAAACCGAAAAATCACTGATACGCACACTGATAGAATATTTTTAATAGTAGTGTAAATTAATCATCATTCTTTGCAGAAAATCGATATCGTAATTGATCGAAATAGTATTGAGCGAATCAGAAGCAATTATTTATTTTCACAAGAAGGTGTCATCTAAGCATCTTATTACAGTAAGAGCTATTTCAAGTGTTCAAATTGACACAAATTAAGTATTATTTATTATAATGAAAAGGAAAAGAAATAAATGTTGAAAATGTGAGAAATCTCAAATTAACTCGTAAATAACGACTGGATTGCCAACAAAACAAGTGAAAACTAAAAGCGAATTAGTCAGATTATTAATTTGGTTTGTAAAGGAAAAAGTAATGTTGATTTTTTTCTTCTTTTCGAAGTTTCGTTTTACTCTGGCAGTAAAAAGTCTCATATAAAAGAAGTCTGAATGGTGAAAAGTGGAAAGAGGAATGCTAAATACACAATTACAAAATGGAGAAATAATGCTGCCTTTCAGACGCTTTTCAATGTTTATGCCCTTCACACGAAATATCTAATATTTCCGCATGATGAAGGAAAAGAGGTTCCAAAGGCAAACAATGAAAGATGCTTTCAGTGAGAGCTCTCCAAAAAACAAGAAATTTCAATGTTTTCAAAATATTCAATATCTTCATAATCTTCAAAGCCGCGTAAAATCTGTTTGACATGAACTAACATGCTGATCTGTCCAGTATCAACTTTTTTGATGAATGGTAACAAATGAGTAAAAATTCAATGAAATCTGACGACTTTCAGGGCGGGCCTTTGTTGAATCTGGTTGGAATTACCCTATTTCCTGTGAAGTTTTAACATATATTTTACTATGAACACTTAGTATTTAAGTATGGTGTCACCCAGTTTCAGAAAACAGATGATCTTTATCTCTTCAGTGAATATCTATGTGTGTGTGTGTTCATACATTAAACGACAATCGTCGTTTCTCCCACAACCACCACAAGAGTTTCTGATGATAGAGTCCTTATTATAACTGTTAAAGCAATTATTCATTCGTTAGGCTTTAAACGCGTGTCTTGAAGCAGAAGATGACAACTATCGAAAGTGAAACAATCACGTTGTATCCTAATTTCTGCAGTCTGTGCACCGATTCTATGTTACAAGTTTAAGATTTTAGAAGGTAAGATTTTATGGATCGTATGTGAGAAGGTAAGATTTTATGGTTTGTATGTTAGAAGGTAAATATTTATGGATCGTATGTCAGACGATATGATTGTAGGATCGTATTTGAGAAGGTGAGATTTTATGGATCGTATGTGAGAAGGTGAGATTTTATGGCTCGTATGCTAAACAGTAAGATTTTATATATTGTATGTTAGAAGGTAAAATTTTAAGGATCGTATGTCAGAAGGTAAAATTTTAAGGATCGTATGTCAGAAGGTAAAATTTTAAGGATCGTATGTCAGAAGGTAAGCATTGAAATCGCCACTCATTGAATTTTGTTCATTTAATCGATAACTAAAAAAGGATGAATGTATTTGAATCTGGGATTTTAATGCTTTACATATTTTATATGATTCTTATTTTTATTTTTTTCTAAACACATTTGGTTTGAAATTAAGATTTATTTTCTTTTACAGCAAATCAATAAGTCAATAGGTTATTTAATCCCGTCAAGACTTTTAGGGTAGGTTCGTCTGAATAAAATATGTATTCTTTGTAAGAAATCAGTTTGCAGATCTGATTTCATTGATGTATTTTTGTAAAGAGGGGTTTTCTCGAGAGTCAAATATATTGCTGGTATTAATATTTTTTGAAAACAGTAATGCTGATATTTTTTTTCACAAATGTATCGCTGGTATTTTTACTATAAAAAACTATTTTTATACTTTCAATGTGCTTTGATCTTGCTACCGGATGTAGTTTATCGTCATACCCAGGACGATGAAACACATTTTACTCACATACATACATACATACATACACACTCGCACGTGTGAGTACTTAGAGGGAGAGAGATAAATGTTGTGGTGATAAAATCCTGTGATGTGAATGCAAGATTACGTGGTTATCCCTCGAGGTCGGGGATGATGGTCTCGTTTTGTTTGCCTCAGTCAGTTGGGTTTGTGGACTCGGAGATGGATAATCAGACCTTTTTTTTTTTTTTTGCTTTAAAGGTCCTTTGACACTGACAACAGGTTGTCCCGGATGGTGAATTAGGCTGTTGTTTTGTTGTTTTTCTTTTTGGCGTTTTCTTTTATCCTCTAGTTCGACTGATATTTTGAATTCGAAGTTTGTTGTTCCGTCTCTGACAATGGATCTCCAGGGATTCCTGTCGATTGCACTGGATTCCCAGCTGTTGATGTCGATATTACATTTTTTCATGTTTTGTTTTAGATTTTCCTCACATCTCTTCTTTTGACATCATCTTTTTCGATTTCATTCTTTGCATTGGGAGTAATAGATTTGTTTTCGTAAGCGGGACAGCATTGCTCTCAGAAACATTGTGACACGCAAGCTTCTTCAGCATGGCAAGGTGACGATCCAAGAAGGAAAGATATAGAGAATGGATGGCAGTCAATTATACACCCTCTGCTTACTGATCACCGCAGTTCATCTCAGTATTTATCAGGGTGGAATTTGATATCACCATCATTTTCAGCAAACCCTTTACAGAAATAATATTCCAATCTGCTTTTTGTATCTGTGTAAAAGAATGCATAGGCGAGTCCGAAAAGGCAACCCTACCCTACTGGTCATAACTCTTACAATCCAGACTATGCGAGTGTGATTTGAACCCCGTGGGCGTGAAATTCTGACAGTGGTGGATTTTCTTCTGTTTTTGGTTTTAATATAAGACCGAAAAACGCACGAAAAGTAGCACATTATGTTTTGCAACCATGGAGAAGCTTTTGTATTCATCCGAGCTTTCCGCACCCATATGATTCGCATGCCATGATTTCAGTAGGACGAGGATGCGTTGTTGACCGACCTGTTAACATCTATTCTACCTATCTCTCTTCCTCTCGCTCATTCCAAGGTGCAATGTGTTCAGCTCAAAATAAAGTGACTAAAAAGGAATCTGAAGTAAATTGTCTGTGATGCAGCGTTGGCATCCCTTCGAAGAAATGACCGATAAACCCCTAGAATACAGAGAAACACACAACGCAACATGTTTTGAAGCCTCAAAAACAAAGTGCCTCCATATTCAGCACATTAAATAGAATCCTAGCTTTCACGAACACCTGTTTAATGAAGGGTTCGTCCTCCAGCCACTGAGCGAGACATACCAAAATAGCAAATATTTGATAAACTTAGCGCAAAGTCACCCAAGTAATTACAATTTCATAAACGTATAACAATGTTAAAAAAAAGTCTTATTACCTGTGCAAAAGCTAGAAAAAACAGTTGACGAGGATTAAGATTTAAACCTGGAAGTCTGTAATCTCTCTGTCTGCTCTTCTCTTTCCAAGTTATGTAACTCTGTCAATAAAATAATAAACACTCTCTCTTAATAGTTTTAAATTATTCGAATTATAAAATGAATCATTTGAATTATGTTATATATATATATATATATATAACATAATAACAAGATAAAGAACAAATAGAAAACGTTTAAAAATTTAATGCAATTGAAGTGTTAGATTTTTAGACGTTTATTAAAGCTTCATCCGTGAATTAAACATGGAAAAAGAAAGACAGTCTGATATCATTATTTTTGTGTTGTTTGATCTTAATTGGTTAAGCGGGTTTCACGCTTATTTGACTTGTTAATCACAGTAATGGAGTTCTGAACTCAGGGAGAGATGACGTGTCTATGCGAAGCTCCAACAAATAACGGATTGCAAGCTTAACTGAAAAAAACGTAAATATAAGTGTATCATAATTCTAGTTTATCTATGTGGCATTCGGGTAATAATGCATATTCGTTTAATAATGCATACTCGTGCGCGCGCATGTGTGTGTAGTAGTAGTAGTAGATATTATTTACGTTTGGTGATTGTGTGCATGTTGATTTTGTGATGTTTTAATGTAAATACTGTTTCTAGTAGATAAACATACGTTCAATTCTTTAAGATCGCTCTAATAATGGATAGTGATTTTGACATGTGTACACAGTTGGTAACATTTTTATAAGAACTCTCTTGAACTATCTGTCTATATTTCTGAGATAAGGTATTACGTACATTATTCAGACTATTGTCCTCAACATTTATTAAAACTTTTCGGCCGTTGTACGCTCCGGTCTTCTTTATTTCGCTCACTGGGGTAAACTGTTCTAGTTTTAATGGATGTCAGTTACCAGTTATCTCCTGTTAATTCACTGCCTTAAGCGGTTATTGAACTCACACTCTTTGGGTCCTGTCACTGGATCTAACCAACGCCTTTATCCATTGTGCCATGTGTCCTTGTGTATGAATTTCTGGGTATTATAAACCTAATGGCTCAGCCAACATTTTTTTACCAGAGCTCATATTGCAATTTTTGTTGTTATTATCGCTTTTCCTCTGGTACTGCTTATTACTGGTTCCCATATTATATTCATTTCTATGCTTGGTTGGCTCAAGAGATTTTTGTGGCCTAGCATATGTGCTGATTCCTTAGGTTTACGAATTTTCCAATGGTGTTCTTTGTCTCTGATCTCAACCTGAATTATTTTAGACGTTAAGAATTGTGTTTTGTTTTGTTTTTTTGTTTTTTTTAATTAGGGGGGCATTTGTAAAATCAATGTTATGCCCATTCTTGTTCACGTGTATTACAACTGAGTTTAAATGGTTTCCCCAACGTAGGCTCCTCTTGAGTTGTTCATAGATGAGGGCTTTTACATTTCCAGACGTTTCTCAAATGTAAGTTCATTTACATTGAAAGCATTTTATCTGATATATTCCAGCATCTGAAGTGGCGTCGTGTGTATTTCCTTTCCTAATTATATCGCCATTGCCTTGGAGGTGGTGGTAAAAACCTTCGTATTGGGAATAACTAATTTATTTTCTA